GGAAATCAATCAGGAAGCAATTGCAGACGTCTAGACAAGATAAAAAGACAACAACTAGAGAACAGGCTGGGAGCTGGTACCCTATAAGGATTCATGAGGTCTGGTGGGTGAGGCCTAGGCAGCCTCTTCTTTTCTGGTCACTGGCTCCATGTCACACAGGCCAGCTCCCCACTCTCGTCTTCAGCCGAGGCCCTTTCCATAGGACTTGACGTTTCTTAGAAAGCATCGGAACAGAGGGCGATGTTCTGCCTTGGTGTTTACTCACTCACCTTGCACAGATGGCTGAACCTGTCTCCTCACAAATGAATGTGGGCATTAGACTAAGCACCCACCATGGATACTCTGAAGCTAAGAAACACCCGGAACACTCTTGTCACACATTGATCTTTTATTATGAAATCATGCCCAAGCACAAGATGCCTTACTTGTTCCTCATTCCACCTATGCTAACCACCCCTAATTAACCCACCGCTTGGAGCCCTTACTCAGCACCAGTAGTGGATAAATTACTTCCTTCCACCAAGTTCCATTTGCTACCAGTGTGTTAATATTTAAGATACTTACTTGTACATCTGAGCTGGGTCTTTCATCTAAGCTTATGTTACCAATTGTTTATGTTACCTTTGCCTCAGAAATATCTGTTCATCAAACTCAGTCAGGCTTTGTCCCACTCCTAAGTCTCATCAGATTAGAGTAGAAATATGGTCATTGGTTTAGATCTGTTGTCTGTCTTCACATAGAATCCAGGCATGGTGATTAACACTGGGCTCAAAGAGGCTATATCCAGAGCCTCAGATAAGAATGACTTTAGATACCTCACAGTGTGGCCTACTTAAATAGCTCCTGCTTTAAATAGGCCATCTCCTATTAACCTTCAGATCCCTATGCTGGTGAGAGAGTCCTCAGCCTCATAGGAGAGCAAAATCTAGGATAGATAATAACTTTGTCAACACCTATAAGCTTGTCAGACTGTGAGACTGAAGTTGAAACTTGGTTTAGAGTCTATGAACAGTGGTGTTGGTGATTTCTATGTTATTTGGGCATTGTTTCCCTGAGCCCTCTGGGCCAACTGACTGCATGTAGTCTAGTCTAGAGATGCTGAGAAATTGTGATGTCTTAAGTTAGTCTCTGTCCACCCCATTCCCATTGCAAAACTCTCTGAAACTTCAAGGACTCCTATAATACCTCTTCTACCATGCATCCACCAACCCTGCCTGTCTTGAAGGAGCAGAAGATGGGAGGTACAAACCCTAGCCCATCGGCTTCATCTGCATGAACACTGTGGTCTCACACCTAGACTGCATCAGTCCTTTTACATCCTGTGAACATCAGAGGTGCATCTCAAAGAAACAGCCTCTAAAAAGATGCTAATAGTAAGAGTGTGAAGTTGTTTGAGGATTAGATGGAATTATATGGGACACATGCTACCGTGTACTGATATAAAGATGTCATACAGTCCCTACCATTTCAGAATGCTGACAATGGGCTCTTTGTCTGGGCCAATTCATGTATTATCTCTTGAAGTAAATCTTGGAGACAACCACATGAATGAAGTGCTCTTTACAGTGCCTCTCAAGCTCTGAATTGTTGCTCCTAAAATGAAGAATTGGTGGGACCTGTCTGAAACTACTTAATTAATTAGTGTCTGACATCAGAGTATGGATCTCACCCCGCAGGTCTGTAGGTACTGTGGAAGTCAGCAGAGATAACTTTAGATCGGGATCTTGCAACCTTCCTCGGTCATGCCACGTGAAGACTCACTGCATCCGAGGAACCAGCTCTCTGCTCTCAATCATAAAATCCTTCCCATCTTATTTTGAGTAGAAGGCATAATAAATATTGCGATTTTTTCTTCCTGAAACAATATCCTCTCTCAAACTACCATCCCAGGGATTTTCAAGTGTTTTCTCCATTTGCCATCCTTTTCTCATGCCCCTGGAAGGCATCTGAGGCTTCCTAAGACATGGGCAGCCAGGGCTCATCTTCCAATGCTGACACAGGACTAGAGAGGCAACATCTCGCCATCCATCAATTCTGATGACATTCAAACATTTTCAATATGTGGGCTTCCTGATAACTTCCATTGTATGGAAAACAAAATGGAGGGAAATGATTATTGGCACAAAAGGGGGAGACTGTAAATCTTCAAATCAGATACAGGGCAGATTGGAACAATATGGCTTCTTCAAGGTTGCCATGATAATGTACCTAATAACTCTCCCTGGGCAAAAAGGCAATCTGCTTTCAATCAATCTCCTTCCCCCCCGACAGCCCACCCCCTTTTTCTGAGCAAAAAATACCAATTACGTTGAAGGAAGATTTTTTCTTCCTTTTTTGATAAGGACTGTTCTCCACCCGAGAAATCATGCTGTAGCTAAAAGATATATATTTTCAATTGTCTGGCATGGTATCGGACAGCTAGCTCCAAATGAAAAAAAAAGTCAATCTTTTTACCCCCTCCTCTCTCCTGCCAGCATCTGTCTACGTCTTAAGAGAAGTGAAAGCTAATTAAAGGCTTAAGGGGTAATATTGATTGCATTGGAATATATTTTATATGCACCCGGCACACTTTTAAATAATAGAACCCTGACTTTTTCTAAGGCTGAATAAATCAGCTGGCTGAACCTCTGATTCAAGGGTGATGCGTTGGGGTGGGGGGTACTCATCTCTTCCCCTTGCACTTCACACATTTCTCTTCGGATGAATGATTTCAGAGCAGCAACTGGGGTGCTGTCAGATGGTCACTCCACTCTTTGTACAGGAAGGGCGAGTGCTCAGCTGTCTCAAGCCACCATTATTCAAGTGTGGCTTTGCTCATTACCAGGGATATGCCTGTGTAGAACTCTGAGATTTTCAGTATCTGATACAGAGGCTGGCTGGATGAGCTTGACCTTTCAGCTTCTCCTTGTATCGACTGGAATAAGGTGCTTGCCTGGGGAATAAGTCTCTCCTTGGTATCAAAGCAGGTTACTGGGGTTCTTGCTTACCCAGCTTGCTCTTTCACTCAAGACATGGCTTCAACTGTAGTTGGATTCCTGTTGGTACTTCTTTATCCTAGGGCCTTCATGCAGGATGTTAGAATATACTGGGTAACACCTTTGTCATTTGTGTGGAGGTCAGGTCAGGAGGGAAATCCTCTTCCTTGGTCACTTTCTGGACATGCCTCCCTATTCACAATCATAAATCTCATTCAGAACACTCATGCCTAGTTACACTTTGTCTGTAAATATGCATATAACATAAGAAACATTTTAAGATGTGAAGAGAACTGTAAAAGCCCAAATAGTCTGTCTGTTTCATGAATTCAGATATGCAGTGTATTTTACAGCCTTATGGTCAGAAGAGGTCAGTGATAAGGGGCTTTGGACATGACATTTGATGAGTGACTAAGTGATGTCCCACGATCTAGCAGATTCTATTGAGAGGGCAATGTGATCACGTTACGATGTCTCTTCTGATGTAGCTCATTGTCATTCTTCCTCCCGTTTGTGACCATGGCTTGTCTGATTGCCAAGTGCACCACCGTAACAATAACAGTTCATAATGGTAATATTATTAACTGCATCGTGCATATTATTGATTTACTCTTTGTTCTGCACCATTATCTCTTCCCCAATGAGTTTACTGCGTTATTCTCACATACTTAGTCGAGCACCAAATTGCCACAAAAGGGCAGGCTCTCGTAATGACGTCTAATGGGACATTCATAAACCATCATCACCACCTCCTATTATAAGCTGCTTCCAGCCAATGAGCTTTCTGCCATATTACAATGTGAATAGAACAACTATAAAGGGTAAAGGACTTGGGCATTCTGAAGTTTTCCTGGGAAATTTTCTTACTGCATGTTCACTACCTGCCCAGTCTTAAAGCATATTAGAGATCTACCCTCTGTCAGCTTGAGGGGTAGAGTGTGTGAGTTGAGCCATGCAGCACAGTGTTTTGGCTAGAAGCTTGTGCATGTAGCTTCACAGCCAAGCCTCTTTTGGTCTTGGGGCCAGTTCTCAGATCATGGTCTTGTGACTGAGCATGGTGAAGCTAATATCAGTGAGCTCAGGATTGCCTGGTGTTGAGGTCACATTGTTTCAGCAAGGGAAGTTGTTGGAGAGGCTGGACATCTTAAATGCTCTGGAAAAGGGTCTCCTTTCATAGGGGTGAGCTGCTATTTCTAGAAACAGATGCCAGAACCACCCTAGAACAAAGTCAGCATTTTCACATTCAGGTCTTCCTAGCTTGTGCCTATTGTAAGGGTCTTCAGGCAAATTAGTTTGGCTCTCAGGGAAGTCCCAAGCACCTTGAGGCAGCAGCCCTCTGGGGACACAGCCACAGCAGGCAGCTTGATCTTCCATTCCATGGGCATCCCATCTCCATTTAGCCCTGAATAATGCTCACTTACTGTAAAGTGTTACATGCCCCCATTGTTGGAGAAGTTATGGTGGAAAAATGCAAAATTTCCTTTTTACTGCTTATGGCCAGCCGAGCCTATAACGTGTCAAGCCGCACATTAGCCACCCTGATAAAAGTCCGCTTTCTTACACACAAAATCATCGTTTCAGCAAGATTTGTTATCTCATTACCTGATAAGCTGTATGTCATAAACCAAGACTGCCGCGGTAAATCTCCCAGGAGGACGCTTTGTGGGCAGAAAGGGGGAGATAGGAATCTGCAAGGGACTTGATAATGTAGCATTTAAGCACAAGCATAATGTCACTTATTGTTAAATGCATAAAACCACTTGGCCAAGTGGCTGGGCTTTTAATAGGATTCTGTGTAGCATCAGGTGAGCAGCCATATGCTTCTTCTGTCCAGGAGCCTCTGAGCAGCTGCTAGAGCCATCGCTTTGCCTCGTGACCCTCTGGGATGGGAACTGGGTTTACGGGGCTTAGGACAGAGATAGATGTTCCTCTTGCAGCTGGCTCACTTCCTCTGCCTTGTCAGGGATCAGGATGTGGGGTCATGTCACTGGGTCTGGCTGGAACTAACTGGCCTCTCCTACGCAGGCACATTGTAGTCTGTGGCCACATCACTCTGGAGAGTGTCTCTAACTTCCTGAAGGACTTTCTGCACAAGGACCGGGATGACGTCAACGTGGAGATTGTCTTTCTTCACAAGTAAGGACCCGCTGTTGTCACTAGAGCCTCTGCCCAACCGAATGCTCCTCTCTGGGCGCCTGTAGGTGTGGTGGAGATGGAGGTGGTTGAGACCTGGGACAAGGCTGAGTAGCCTTGAACCCTGCTGGCTCCTTAGCTGCAAGGTAGTTTTTCCACAAAAATGAGGCATTTGCCTTAGAGCCCTTGGAGGGTGAAGTGACACCCCAGTCCACGGTTGAAAGCAGCCTCTAGTGAGGTGGTCTGGGACCCCGTCTGAGTTTCCTTCTGAAGTATTAACCATGAAATGCACTAGGATCCAAGTCACTATTCTTGTCCCTTCATTGGTGGGATAATGAATGAGATTGTGTGGGTGCTTTACCTCTGCCGGAGAGGGACCAAGCAAGGCAAGAGAAGAAGCAAGGCGACATAGTTACTTTCTCATCGCTATGACCAAACACCTGGCCAAAGTAACTCAAGGAAAGAAAGGTTCGCTTTAGTTTGCAGGTCCATGGAGACACAGGAGAAAGTGTCAGGCCTGGGCACATGGCATCTGCATGCAGGAAGCAGAGAGAGATGAGTGTTGGTGCTCAGGTTGTTGCCTCATTTTATATTTAGTCTGAGATCCAGCCTAAAAGATGGTGCTGCCACATTCATAATGGATCTTTCCACCCCACTTTACCCAATAGATAATCCCTCACACAAAGGTTGGCCTACCAGGTGATCCTAGATCCCGCCCAGTTGACAGCATTAATAGACACATGGTGTATTGGGCATATTAACACTGTTGTTCCACTGAGTCTCCAGTGGTGCCTGAGGCTGGCTCTGTGTAGATGGATTTTCATTTAATCCATAGACATAATGCCAAGTGCATCGTTCATCTGAATCCTGACTTAACCAATGAGTGGCTGGGCAAGTTACTACTCTGTGCCCCAGCTCCCGTGTCTAAGAACAGAGAAGACGTTCTGTCTCCTTGAACTATTATAAGAATGGAATGAATCAATATATGTAAAATGTGCAGAGCCCAGTTAGGCATACAGGAAATGCTATTATTGGGCTATACAGTTGACTTAACAATAGATCTCTCCATATAAATATATTTATTCATGGGCAGTGCCCACCCTATACAGAGAAAGACTCTTAATTCTGGAGGCTGGGAAGTCCCACAGTCTGCCATGTCAAAATTGAAAAGCCCACTAGTGTTATGACTTGTCTAAAGCTTGAAGGCCTATACAAAGGAAGCTAGTGATGTGAAATCCTAGTCCAGGAGAAGAATGGACAGACTAAGATGTCATAATGCATATAGGTAGGCAGGAAGCAAGAAACAGCTATGACTGTTCTTTCCTCTTTCGGTCTTTGCTTGGTTGACTGGTACCCACTCATGTGGAGGAAGGAGGTCTACTTTCCCAGATTGGAAGGTGAATCTCACGGGCAAAAACCTCATAGATGTACCTGGAATCAGCTTAATCTGGGCCTTCCAACATTGGGCCCAGTCAATTTGACACATGTAATGACCAATAACACTGGTGCCACAGCTCTGACTTTTCTAGTGGTAACAAAGACAAGACACTTCACCATAGAGTCCCCAACATATGTAAGTCCAGAGACCTCTTGGTGTGATTTTTAATGGAGTTTACTTCTCTTCAATATGAGCCTTTTATTTAGGGCAGAGAAGGCGGTTTCTGTGAAGGTTAGGGCCTTTGTTTAGGTCCTTATGTGGAAATTGAAGCCGAGGGAGCCACGGAGTCCAAGATCTCCACTCTGTTGCTTTAACAGTTGTTTCTTTTCTGTCTGTGCAGCATCTCCCCCAACCTTGAACTTGAGGCTCTGTTCAAACGACATTTTACTCAGGTGGAATTTTATCAGGGTTCTGTACTCAATCCACATGATCTTGCCAGAGTCAAGGTAAGGAGAAATAAATGTTTGCTCTCTTTCTTGAGGGATGGGGCCATGGTTCCCTTCTCCTAAAGCACTAACGAGATAACACAGATATCACTAATCCTGGGAGACGCTTTTGTTGGGACAGGACCTTGCTTGCTGACACCATATATAAGTATTCCACATTTAGGTTAGTCTTAACATAGAACTCAGTTTTCTGTTTTCTTCTAAATCAGCCAATCCCAAAGGAGGACTGATATGTTTAGTGGGTAAAGGCACTTGCTGCAAAGCCTGTTGACCAGAGTTTGAGCTCCAGGACCTACTTGGTGGAAGCAGAGAATCAACTACCACAAATTGTCCTCTCACTTTAATATGCACACACATACACGCACACACACACCCCCCCCCACACACAATCACCCACCACCACACACACATACACACACATATACACACATACACACACACATACACACACACATACACACACACACACACACACACACACACACACACACACACACACACACAGGAATAACACAAAGTAGGACTAAGAACACCCTAAGCCTAACTCCCCAGTCAAAGGACATGACTAAACTTCAAAGATAGCCACCACTTTACAGTGAAAGGATAGAAAAACCATCCTGAGTGAATGGGAGCAGGAAACAAGCAGGGGCAACATCCTACTATCCCACAGAATTAGCCAGAGGAGACAGAGGGGCACTTCGTGCTAATCAAGAAAACAATCAACCAAGAAACTCTTATAACACTAAACATGTATACACTAAACATGTATACACTAAACATGTATACACTAAGCATGTATACACTAAACATGTATACACTAAACATGTATACACTAAGCATGTATACACTAAGCATGTATACACTAAACATGTATACACTAAACATGTATACACTAAGCATGTATACACTAAACATGTATACACTAAACATGTATACACTAAGCATGTATACACTAAACATGTATACACTAAACATGTATACACTAAACATGTATACACTAAGCATGTATACACTAAGCATGTATACACTAAACATGTATACACTAAGCATGTATACACTAAACATGTATACACTAAACATGTATACACTAAGCATGTATACACTAAGCATGTATACACTAAACATGTATACACTAAACATGTATACACTAAGCATGTATACACTAAGCATGTATACACTAAGCATGTATACACTAAACATGTATACACTAAACATGTATACACTAAGCATGTATACACTAAGCATGTATACACTAAACATGTATACACTAAACATGTATACACTAAGCATGTATACACTAAGCATGTATACACTAAGCATGTATACACTAAACATGTATACACTAAGCATGTATACACTAAGCATGTATACACTAAGCATGTATACACTAAACATGTATACACTAAACATGTATACACTAAGCATGTATACACTAAGCATGTATACACTAAGCATGTATACACTAAACATGTATACACTAAACATGTATACACTAAGCATGTATACACTAAGCATGTATACACTAAGCATGTATACACTAAACATGTATACACTAAACATGTATACACTAAGCATGTATACACTAAGCATGTATACACTAAGCATGTATACACTAAGCATGTATACACTAAGCATGTATACACTAAGCATGTATACACTAAACATGGTTCACCCAGTGTCATAAAGCACACTGCTGGACTCAATGATACAGAGCAGCTCCAACTCCATAATAGTGGGGGTAATTTCTAAACTCCACTTTCTCTAATAATAAACAAATGTAAAAAAAGTTGAATGGATAAAAAGTCATGCACAATGTAACATCATAAATGATTAGTTTTCACCTAATTGAACTCAGTGTAGCTTTCAGATCCATTAGTTATATCTGAGAGAAATGTTAGAAAAGAAAATAACACCAAGATATAAGACATTTGGGCTTCCTTTTCCAAAAGCAGACTCTTGCATCATTTGGTAATAAGCTGATTGTATTCTTCGTGACCCCTTCTGAATTGACATCTTCTTATAAAGTACAAGTAAGGCTTTAGAAGAGAATGGGACACAGGGAACTGACAGCTACTAATTTATTCATTTAACAAGGGTTTTATAAGTGTGTTTACCCTTTGCATGCCAGTGGCACCTAGTTAATATTGTGTGAGCCCGTGGAAGTCTAAATGCTAACTGTGGTCATAAAGTGTTCTGAATTTTCTATAGTGGCAAACATAGAAAAACCAGGATTTGTGTGAATTCTTTACATTATTAAAGAAATCAAGAGACAGTGTGTGACAGACCAGGGAGGAAAACATGGCCCTCCTACCAAATGTTGGAACAGTCTAGTAAGTACAACATTCTGAGCAGGAAAATTGCAGACCCAGGTCAGCGTGCGAGTTCTCATGCTTATGTAGGCTAGCTCATCTTAATATTATCCAGACATGACCCAAGTCAGAAGTACAGAGAAAATGGCTTTGTTCACAGATCTTATTTAAATGCAAGCAATTATTAGCATGTCAAACTCATGGTCCCTCCAAGGAACAAATCCACTTTGGCTCACATTAAGATAAGTCAGTAGGTTGCCTTTGCATCCATCTGCAAAGTATCATTTAATTGATACAAACGATTTGTCTTTTGAATACCTGAGTAGTAATGAATGGTGAACAGCATAGAACTATTGTCTATTTAAGGCTCCAATTTCTTCTCGGCACACAAAATAAAAATGTGCATAATGTTTGATGAAGATTTTTTTAAAACTTTACTTATTTTAATTTTATGTGTATGAGTGTTTTACCTGCATGTATGTATGTGAACTCCCTGTTGCCTGAAGTCTACAGGCCAGAAGAGGAGTCAGATGCCCTGGAATGGAAGTTTTCAATGGTTGTGAGCTATCATGTGGGTGCTGGGAATGGAACTTAACATTGTCTGCAAAAAGTATCAAGTGTTCTTAATCACTGAGTCATCTCTCTAACCCCTTGATGATCCAGTCTGTGTTGCTGATTATGCAACTATTTTTTGTCCACATTGGAACCCAAGGGAAGGGGTTTAACGGACCAACTTCTGTTTTCTGGATAAAAAAGATTAGGATGGTGGCACAGCCAGGTGAAAGAAGAAGAGGGAATGAGCTTGAACGACCTAATTAAGTGAACTAAGGACTTTGGCAAATATGCCTGCAAGCAGTTAGGCCAAATGAAGAGCATGGTTACTCAGGTTCACACTGGAATGTTTACCCATAACAAGGACCTGACTTGCAACCTACACTTTTAACAAAACTATAATTTTTTTTCAGGAATTTTTCCCATTTACTTGCAAAATACCCTGTTCTCTAAATGCTGCCAACAAAGAGAGACTGCAGTTGAGTGTATGTGTTTCTATGTTTGTGTTTACTATGATTTTTTCCTTTTGGTCTCTCAGATAGAGTCAGCAGACGCGTGTCTGATCCTTGCCAATAAGTACTGCGCTGACCCGGATGCAGAAGATGCCTCCAATATCATGAGGTAACTTGGAAAGGTCCTGGATTGGTCTCCCACTAACTTACAAGCATCCCTTTATTGGTTTGCAGAGGATTGTCTCTGTGGACCATCTTTCCTTTCTACACCAGGCAACCATGGCTCCTGTGTGGAGCAGGTGGAGCTGAAGAGTGTTGACATACAGGGTACCATCAACAGGAAGCTCAGAGTTAGCAGATGGCATGCCTGCTGCTCAGAGCTGCTCTTGGGTTTCAGATCCCTAGAGAAAGAACTAGGAAAGGAAAGATAGGTACAGGTTTGCGTTAAAGGGCCATGTTCACAGGACTAGGGAGATGGCTCAGCTGGTAAAGCATCTCCTGTGCAAGTGTAGGGATATGAGTTCAAACCCCAGAACCAATTTTAGAAAATGAGGCACTTGAATCCTAGGAACCAGAGACAGCAAATCCCTGGGACTCACCAGTCAGCCTGGCCTAATTCAGTGAGATCCAGGTCACCGAGAGGCCTGTTGCAAGATATCAAGGTGGTCCATATCTAAGGAACAACACACTCCATGCTGACTTCTGCCATCAAATGGACTAATACCCATTCACAAAGATTCCTACCCACAAAATCTTACATTTTTATTTTTTAAAAAATTATGTTATCTGAAAGGTTGGGCCCAAGATGTCCTTACTGGAGAGGGTCTTAAAATACTTCCAAGAGGTATTTTCCAATATGTTCAACATGTTTCAACATCTTTGCATTTAAATCAACTAGAAGGTGGTCTTGCTGGAATCCAGTACATAGAGACCAGGAATGCTGCCAAGCTTCCTACAATGCACAGCACAATCCCTATCTAGAAAGCTATCTGACCCAAAATGACAATAGTTGAGGCTGAGAAACCGCTTGGTAGAACTTCCCCAGCCTGTCTCTATCCAGCTGATTATTATTGCTCTGAAAGTTATTGGTTAATTAGCTTGTCTCAGTTTCCCCCAGATGAGTGTTCTCTAATGATTTTAACATTATCATGTAACTCTGAGATACTGAGTTATGTAGATTACATCTTAATCCTGTGTGGATTGAAGTCCCCACTCTTTATTTATTTATTTTTAACAGATCATGGTTTGGGGAGAAAACAAATCTAGAACACTACTGGTTAACACCTTTTCTGCACATGGGTTACGCCTCTCAAAGGCTAATTTTAATCCTTTTTTTTTTGCTTTTTTTCCTCACTTTTTAAAATTTTTAAATTAGAAACAAGCTTCATTCACATGTCAATCCCAGATCTCTCTCCTTCCCCTCCTCCCTGTACTCCACCAATCCCCCAACACCCCACTTCATCCACCCTCTGCTCCCCAGGGAGGGTGAAATCCCAGGGGGATCTCCAAAGTCTGTCTTATCATCTGGGCAGGGCCTAGGTCCTCCCCCATGTGTCCAGGCTGAGAGAGCATCCCTCCAAGTGGAATGGGCTCCCAAAGTACATTTGTACGCCATGGATAATACTTATCTACTACCCGAGGCCCCATAGATTGCTGAGGCCTCCTCACTGATACCTACCCTCAGGGGGTTTGGATCAGTACCATACTGGCCTCTCAGTTATCAGTCAGGGGTTCATGAGCTCCCCCTTGTTCAGGTCAGCTGTTTCTGTATATTTCACCAGCCCTGTCTTGATTCCTTTACTCATCACTCTTCCCTCTCTGCAGCTGTTAACCCTGACTCTTGAAGACCTTAATTTGCTCACATTCAGAAGGAAAGTTTTCTTTAGCTATTCATTATTCTTCCATAGACTTGTCATTATATCCTGTATCTAGAAAATGACCGAAAAATCCAAACATTGTGCTCTGGTTAGCTAAAAATCCTTTTAGAATTTGTCTTTTCTCTGGTATAAATTGTAGAATAGTCACTTGAGGTTGGGGAAGATAACAAAGAAACTCTTCTGGAGAGAGCCTGGACTGAGGGAAATGCTTCATTCCCAGTGTATTCCTAACATCCTTTGGATCAGGTCTAGGCCAGATGCTAATTGCAGCTGGATTCTCTGGGACTTAAGGATTTACCTCAAGGTGAGAGCTGGGAAGCTGCCTTTGGATCTTTAGAGTGTTTGCAATGCTTCATTTTGGTTTTAATTAGTGTTCACCAGCTACATGCATTTTCCCATCAGTGAGGCAGAGGAATTCCTCTGGTGCCTTCACGTGGATCCTGTCTTCCTGTCAGTATCTGGACCTTACGTCTGGAGGAAACCACCTGACACTTTTCTTCGGTAATAGGCTTGGCCCAGTGTTTTAAGGAAATTTGTGCATAAAGCCTGGTAAGACTGAGTTTGCCAGGCTTAGATGCAGTGGGAACTGGCTTCACACCTGAGCCCATCTCCTTACCAGGCCTCACTGGAAAGTGACCACACAGGTCAACTCCAGTTTATAATGTGTCCTTTGTCACTTTAAAACTAAGCAGCATCTCTACCCTTTCATACATTTCCTCCTGTCATGTGAAGTGATAAAAAATGTAGCCCTTCAAGGGACAAGGCACCATCTTGTTCCTTGTTACAAAGAAAACAGGAGCAGGAGGCATAATGTTTTTGGCCTCATGGCAAAGTGCCTGCCATGTAAACTTTTATTCTCCTCAATGGTGAAAAATAGAAATGGGTGGTAATTTTGAAACAGGCATTTCTCATAATTAGAATGTTTTCTTCAAACTCCGAGGATAAAGGGTTAATGTGAGCATATTTAGATATCAGGGAGAACGGTGGGATGCCAAGTCATGGAGCTCACTGGGCACAGAGGGCTATCAAGAATAAAAGTAAGAACCAGAAGCCAGTGGGAAGCTCAGGGTTAAACACGGTTCAGCTTTTCTTTTATTTGTATATTCCTCTTTAGATTAATGAGACCAGTCTGCTGCTTTTGAAATTAAAATGTCAAAGAGCCATTTGAAACGAGCTAATGCAGAGTGCTGGCTGGCACTGTGGACTGCACTGAGGGGTTGACAGAGACTCAAAAGCCCTGAGTTAGAGGCAGAAGCCAACAAGACACTGTCTCAAGATTAAGAGAGGAAGCCCTTCCAGGGCAAAGCTCGGTGAAGGTGTACGGAGAGGCTTTCTGGGGAACCGTCTCCCTGAGTCTCTGGCTGCAGTCTCCTCAGATGAAGCTGCTGTCTGACTGCCTTCTCTTCGGCTCTGCAGAAAAAGTGGCAAAAGGAAGAGCTGAGCTTGGTGGGAAGTTTGTGGGGGCGGCTGTGAAAATTGCACTTGCATTCCTGATGAGGCTTAGGAGGTGGGCCTTTCTCTGGAATTCCATTTCTTAGCCTTCCTTGTCACAGAAGGAAATGTACAATGTCACTCCTGACAGGGTTGGTAATGACAAAAACCATAACTTACACGGGGAGAGGGCCTTTAATGATTTCAAAGCATTTTAACATCTGGTCTCCCATTTGCTCCTCATACCAAGCCTGTGAAGTAAACAAAGCAGGTATGGTTGCCCCCAGTGTCCAGATGAGAAGACAGGAACAGAGAGCCCAGGGGTTTCCGGAGGGTCACCCAGTTCATTAGCACAATAGCTGTGCTGGAAGCCAGGTGTTTCCATTCATGGGCTCCTTACTTCTTCCCTTTGGAGAAGGGATGGCAGGGAAGGTTGACTGGTGGGGTCATCCAGGCTCAGTGAAGGACTGAGGGCAATCAGAGGGGATTTCCCACCAGATCGTATGTTTAGGGTGCTGGTGTTTAACTTGAACCAGTGGTCAAGTCATCATTATGCTGTGGAAGGCAGAGTACTTGATCATATCCCAAGAATTCTGCTTAAAACTCACATTTATGAGGAATGTCCAAAGGGTATGTGATAATCAAGGCCATTTGTCAGGTGGCTTGTTTAAGTTGTCATCATTGGCTCAGAGTGTTAACTGGACACAGAGCAGAGGTCTTTAGGAGTGTGGAATCTGCAGACTCCAGAAGCTTAAGGTCTAGGCTTGCATAACCTGTCCGTAGGAATCAAAAGCTCCCATCTTGGTGCATCAGGCTCATAGTCCATCTCCTAGGCATCATAGGAGTCCTTCATGCTTGTTTTTAAGGCAGAGTCTCATGTAGTCCAGGCAAGCTTTGGACTTGCTCTGTAGAGTCCTGATCACCAGCCTCCATCAGTCACGTGGTATGGCTACAGTGTGCTTTACTGCCCCTGCCTCTCTCTGATGTTTGTAATGCCTAGTATATATACCAGAAGATGCCTTGTCATTTCTTTTTCATGCTGTTAATACGTATGGTGAGGGGCATAGCCCCTCGATGGCTGCTGACTTGAACCTATCTAATCAAAGGAGTCCTCCACCACACTCTTGGGTGACATGGAGCCTGCTTCAGCTCTGCCTCTCTCTCTTTCAGAGTGATCTCCATAAAGAACTACCACCCGAAAATCAGGATCATAACTCAGATGCTGCAGTATCATAACAAGGTAGGTGGTGAGATGTCTAGGCCTAAAGCCATCCTCAGAGCTTGGCCCAGTACCTTCTCCCTCTCCATACACCCTCACACACACACATATATTCACATATGCACACTTGTACACATGCCCGAGGTCTGGCAAAGACTTACAATAGTTAAAATGTCCCTTCTCCCTAGGGCATTTCTTCAGGGTAATCAACTCATTTTTTTTTGTGGTGGGTAATTGGGAGGAAGTGCCTTTGTCGCCTTCTTCTACTAATTCATTCATTCAGGAAGAAGCTATTGAACCCTTTGGTTCAGAAATATTGATATGCTCTTAGATCCTGTCCATGCTCAAGTTCCAACAACTTGCATTTCTATGTCCTGCAGTCATGCAGTCAATATCTATTGAATACCTACTCTGTAATTAATTAACACTCTTTCTGATACGGCCCCCCCCCCGCAGATAGTTTAACTGTGAAGATAAAATCTGATTTTGTGTCTTTAGAGACTGATCAAGTAAGATATAGAGAATGTGCCAGATACACGATAGGATCGTCTATGTGACCAAGAGCACCCTAAGGAACATAACACAAGTTGAGCAGAGAAAACAGAGCAGGAAATCACCCTGGAATTCAGAAAGGGAACTTGGGAAAAGCAGCAGTTCATCCAAGTATTATACTGAAAACAGTGTTCCCAGTGTTACAGCTTTCGGTGGGGCCTGGTTAGGAGGAGCACAAGCATGAGACAGTCGGTGTTGCTGCTGTAATTAGCTCTCATTGAAGCAGAGCTAAAGGTCTTATGCAAAGGCGGCACTCCTCCGCTTGGCTTGTGGTTGGCCTCTAGACAGCTTTGGAGGAGGGAAGGTAGCCTCTTGTTCTACTTGATATGGTACCAGTTGTCTTCTTAATGGAGCTTAGAAACTGGAGGCTTCTCAGCACATGGGGCCAGGTATCTTGTCTGAACAGAAATAACTCCCTGCAGGGTTATGTGTGACAGCATGTCCCATCTTATAGGCCATATTCCTTACAAAACAAGCCATCAGGTGCCCCAGACAAAAACCCATTCTGCCAAATGCCACCAGCACCATGCCATTATTTCTTAATTGCTGGCAAGTTTTGGCCCATTTTGCCTTGTGGAGGCCCATCAGAGGCCATTGCTGAGTGGGTCCTGCTGTCAGCAACTGGCCCACAGCTTGGAACTGCTGCCCAATGCCGGCTATTGCCCAGCCCTCGGCAGGTGGCTCTATTGGAAATTCTGCTACTCTCCAGCCAGTGGATTTGGTGATGGGTACATAAGGTCACTCCCCTGTTTGTCTCTGAAAACTCAAGGTTGAGATGAGGGGGCTATTGGTAATTCACAGGCATCAACATGGAGAAGTTCTTGATGGCAGCCTCAGTAGGTGGAAGGTGAATTTTATTAGCGAGGCTGTGACTGGTGACAGCTCCTGCTGCAAGGAACACTCCTTCTCTCATTTGTGATTTGAAATCTCATTTAGTGTGGGAGTGCTTTAAGCGATTGTTTAGATTTTTGGCTGAATTTAGACTGAATAGGAAAATTAATGTTGTATGTTTAGAGAGAGATGTCAGTTCCTTTTCTTCTCTTTCCAACGGGTGCTGATGTAGCATCTTCAAGAAATTAAAGAGTATTTCAGCTGTGTAGTTCTTGTCAAACTCAAAGCATCTTGATTGGCCTCAGAGCCAGATGGTACATGGTCAGTCTTCACATGAGCACAGCCACCTGAATATCTTGGACTGACTTTTCAGTACAATCATCCAGACACTATGATGAAGAAAGCAACAGACCCATGATTATTTGCTTAAAACATATCTTGTTAAGAACCACCCCACTCACTCTACTGGGGCTCCTGAGTCAGGCAAAGTTGTTTTCAGAATACAGTTGCATTAGTAAGGATACAGTGATAGAGTAACTTTGACAATGGGCATTTTCCTCTGTTGTTTCATATCCCCCCTTTAGAATAGGGATTCTCTTGTCTTCATTTTTTAGGTCATTCTCAGTAGGATTTTGGTGGACAGTTCTTCCCCCGGCTTCATAATTTCTGCAGTTGCCTAAGGTCACCTATCTTTCCACATGCTCTTCTTCTCTTCCAACGTTTTCTTCTTCTTGTGCCTTTTTCTCTGCACTCATCTGAGATGCACATAGAGCTCCACTCACTTATACAGACACTTAGGAAAGATCTGATGCTTTTGTGAAAACTATGCCACTGACAACATATTCTGGAGGGGGTAATGGCTCCCACAATTGGACACCAGGCTTGAAATAAAAACAATGTCAACTCCATGATGTAGTGAGGGTGATATTTTAGAGCCTAGAGGGATGCAGGGAAACTGCTGGCCTTGAGTTTGTCATCATAATAATTACAGACATTTGTGTCCTGTTTTATGGCTTTAAAAGAGCTTTGACATCCATTATCTCAGTTAGTCCTCATTGGGCCATCTGTGCATTTTAGCATCCCAGTGTAATATCAGACTAGTAGGAGTCAAAGCTCTGTCCCAGGCAGATCAACTCTGGCTAGCACAAATCACGGTCACTCAACAGCCAGCAAACTAGGATGGGTGGGGGGGGATAGCCAACTGTTACCTTCTCTTTAAATGGGACATTAGCCCACAGAACTGAACTCTGATTCCTGGGAGAAAGGTGGTGCTCTCCAAAATGGGTCTCTTTATAGGGGCTATGTTTCACAGAGAGAACTTTTAAATCAGGCCATCTCTGAATGGAGAAGGAAGAGAGTGTATTGGCTGCCATGCAGGTAAATGATTTAAAGCTCTTCAAAGACAGGATGATGCATGGCACACACTAGACAAAAGCATCATTCCTAATAACTCACCTATTACTGTTCTTTTTCCTTGTCTCTGATCTGGAAACTAAGTCCCCAGCCCAGATGCCAGTTCTTTGAGCATCCCTGTTGTCTCTGCTGGCTTGTGAGACATAGTTGTGCTCATCATTGCTTTCATAACTTTCCAGTATTGATGATAAAATACCATGACAAAGTCATCTACATGAAGGAGGGTTTTGTTTCAGCTCACAGCTCAGGGCTCTGTTTATCATAGAGAAGAGGTCAAGCTCCCAAGAATCTGAAGTAGCTGATTATGTCACATCTACAATCAGGAACTAGAACATGAATATATACAGTTTACTAGTTCTCCTTTTCCACTTACACAGTGTAGAATTCCAACAAGGGAATGGTGCCACCCACAGTGGGTGGGTCTTCCAATCTCAATTAACAGAATGAAGGTAAGCCATCACAGACATGCTCTAAAGCCATTCTCCTAAATGAGTCTAGATTCTGTCAATTTGACAGCCCAAGTCATCATAGGCAGCTTTCCGTCATTCTAACAATGAGGCCATGATGAGTTGTTCCTTTTTCTTAGGTTTGTGATAACGCATCATTCTGGGCGAGACTGGTGGAAAGCAATGGATTGATTCATAGCCGTCAAACAAAACAGATAGGGCTGACTGGTGTCCTGCCAGCCTCTTGGATAACAATGATCTCAATGACCCAAAGACCTTCTATTAAACTCTGCCTCCAAAGGTTCCACTTCCTCCTAATAGAGTGCCACACTGGGGAAGAAACTGTTCGTATGTGGTCTTTAGTGGACATGAGCTGCAGATGCAGACTGCAAAGTACTGTAGCTATACTTCATCGTTTTGTTTGTTTGTCTTTCAGCCTTCTCTAAGGCTAAATATATAGTAAGAGGAGGAAGTATGACAAAATACATTTCTTCTGCCTTCCTAAGACAGCACATTTTTATAGTCCTTCATGAAATGAAGGGTGGTCCAGTAGGAGGGCCTGGTTAATGTTCTACCTCTCTTTTCTCTTTGCCAAGTTATAACAAATTTTCCTCCAGGTCCCTGTGTGGAAATGCTGGCATTTTTTTCACCAGACCTAACTTCCCTCAAATGAAAGAGGATGGCGTTTCCCAAAACAAAGAATTTGAGTTCCTGGGTCAAATATCCTCTCTCGGCTTCATGCACACAACCTTCTCTCTTGGTCATTGACATTTCAGCTTCACTTCCTGTCACATGACTGGAGGAAATACAATGGCCAAGAAGGAAGACAGTAGAATCTGGAAATGAGCATGACTTTCTACACGGGACACAAGAGACCCAAGGCTTAAAGGCCAGAGCTACATATTTTGCATGGCATGCAGATAGGGCAGACTTTCTGCAAAACATCTATTGTTTGAAGATGTCATGTGGTGTCTCTGTAGGGACTAGACCACCCAGATCTCTTGTCACACACAAGTTCATTACTTGGATGTAATTTACCATTCTTCTCATATGAATATTTCTCCACATGGATGAGTATCTTTTATACAGTGTCAGGGAAGCAAATTAAAAAGCTAATTCTTAAGTCAGGGAAGAATGGGGAGAGAAATGGGAAAGAGGGTGGGGCTATCTGTTGGCACTGAGTGTGTGCTGCGCAGAAGACCCTGTGGTATGCAGCTCCACATGAATCGTACTCCTCTGTGGCCCACACGCTGGCCTGTTTTACCCATACTCTGGTTAGGGAGTAAGCAATCATCTCTTCCAGCAGTAACCACTGCTGACTGGGACTGGAGACTGTCACAAGAGGTGAATTTTGCAAGCAGAGCAAGGAGGCCTGGGCTCTGTTCTTTGTCTCTGCATCCTTTCATTGCAGCTGGCCTCTGTTGTTCTGAAAGGGAATGGAAGGCTATTTGCTGTTCCCCATTTCCTGATGCATGGGGAGAAACAAGTTCAGAACTATAGAGCCTTGGCACATATAGGGACTTAGAAGAACTCTGGATCAACTTGCTGTACAAAGTGTGATTTACTGTAGCATCTTGGAAAAATACTAAGTCTTAGGGGTAAGGACTTTGTGCTTTTTGTTGTTGTTTTTTAAAGTAACCATCTCCATTTATTGGATGTATTTCATCCTAAGAAAGTTCCTTTGTTAAACAAGCCAAAATCCCCTGATTTCTTTTAATATATGCCAGGCCAGTCCTACTCTGACTCCAAGAACAGAGTAGGGCATAGCTAATCTTGACATAGCAGTACCTGAGGCATTCAGATGTGATGACTATCCTGACTCCCTGAGGATGGTGTCGCCTGAATCTTGGACATTTCTGGCTCTTTTTACTGTTTCTCAAAAGAGCTTTTGCAGAATACTCACATAATCTTGTCTTCATCGATTTTCTATGGCCATTATCCAATTGATCTTTTTCCCTCTCCGATTTTGACTACTAAAAAATGGATTGAATTCTGTGGAATGACTGTGGCCTGTTTGCATAGAATGAAGTGTTCATTTCCTTTGCTCTGGTGACTTGTTTGTAACAAGCAGACCTTGGCTTTGTGTCATGTATCCCATGGCCTCCAACTGAGGTTTTAGTTACTCACACACTTAAATGCTATCCCCCATTCTCTCTCTAACACATACACTCTCTCTCTCTCTCTCTCTCTCTCTCTCTCTCTCTCTCTCGCTCGCTCTCGCTCTCTCTCTCTCAGATTTGTCTTCTTGTTTCAGATTTATATAATTGATGTTTTTTTTTAACACAAGCACTGATGTCCCTGACATTCAGGCCTTGTTACTAGCTTGCCAGACACTAGAGAACTTCCTGAATTTCAACTTTTTCATTCACCCTGTCATGTATGATTCTCTGCTGCGTGCCACTGGCAAATAATAGTGTGAGCATGCCTCTGGGTCTGCAGGTTGGGTGTGACATAATTGTGGTGTAGAACAGCCCATCTGTGAAAGATGTCTGTGCTGTGATGATTTGGGGGAACGGGTCCTGCACAGTGGTATCCAGAGAAGCAACATTACCTTCCACGTGTAGAGTTTCAGATTCTCCAACTCCACTCAAGATCTACTCAGGCAGAAATTTAGCAGTGTGGGGCCAACAACTTGTGGTTTTGTACACATTGTAGGGCATGTAGGTGCCCATTTAAGTTTGGGGCATCGCTGACCTAGAGTATTGAGAAAGCAGGAAGAAAATCCAAGCGCACATAGACACGCAGACATCTGGCAATCTGATACTACTTGAGAGTCACTTTAAAAGCAAGCTAACTAGACGTCTTAATAATGGGGGCTGGTGTGTTTCACAAGAGAAAAATCCTCTCTGGGTTGAATCTGGCTAAATAGCAAACTTGAGAGGAGATTGTTGTCCTGGTGAGTTTAGAAGCAACATTGCCAAGAGGCCAAGGTCTGTTGGACAGAAGTGGAGAGCCTAGCAATGGGCCTCAGATCCAGGGAGAGGGAAGAGAGGATGAGTATGGATGACCCAGTGTCCTTGGACAGTGTGGCAGCTCCCAGAAGAGATTTCAGACCCTCAGACAAGGAGCAGAACAGGGTCTCATACCTCTTGTTATTCCCACAGGCCCATCTGCTCAACATCCCCAGCTGGAATTGGAAAGAGGGCGATGACGCAATATGCCTCGCAGAGCTCAAGTTGGGTTTCATAGCCCAGAGCTGTCTGGCTCAAGGCCTCTCCACAATGCTTGCCAACCTCTTCTCTATGAGGTCATTCATAAAGGTAACGTCTTGTCTTATTAGAGCACATTAGCCTAGGATTCCATTTGTCGTGGGGTTGAGTAGAGCACAGCTTAAACTCAAAACAGATCGGTGGGCTTTAACTTCTCTGGTTGAGGAGAAATTCCTTATTACAGATTTGGGAATGAGGCCAGCTCCTTTCAAAATTATGTTTTTATTTTTATTTGGCACATCCGTGGCCATTAAATGATTGTTCAAAGCACAATCCTCTCTTTTTTTAGATAAACCACATGTTTATCTATCAACAAAGCCTCCGCTGTTAAAACAAAAATATGATTTATATACATTCCATATGGCACCAGAGTGCCTAAAGAAAAGAATTATCATTTTCCTCTTTTATATCAAGTGGCTGGTGGACCTCTCACTGTGTGGATAAATGCAGACCATGTGTTTGTGCTGAAGCCCAAACCCCAACAACATAATTCATTTATTTACTTCTGCACAATCAAGGAAGCCAGCAAGGCTGACATGCCATGGCTATTTGAATGGAGAAAGAAAAGATGAACCAAGTCCTCACCCCAAGAGACATGCAGTCTGGATGTGTTCATCTCCCTGTCAGAGCTCACTGGACAGCCACTCCTGTCTCCAGATGGCTGCTGGACCAACTCAGGGAGAGAGAATGAACCCACTCTTTTCTCCAGGGCCCAGGGCCTTGAGTGCCTCTGAGCCTAGATGCCTAACTGAGCAAGCTTCTAGAGTGTGAGCTTCAGCAGTCAAGGTAGCAAAACATCCATGAACTGTGTTACTTAGGACTGGGTTTATCAGGCCTTTACCCCTTGTACCTATGTCACTGACATTATTTAGCCAATAGGTAGTTCTCATAGAATGACATAAAGAATAACTGGTCTTAAACTCCCACTTCCATAATTGTGGCAGTGCTCATAGTGCATAACACTTTGATTTAAAACAAGTTCTCTAGTGTTTATTCTGTACCCATAGACCTCAGCTCAACAGAACTTCAAGTTCAAACCCACTTACAAATGAAGTCACTGTATACCTCTAAATGTCTTGTTTAATCCAGGCTGCTTTTGTCCTGCAGAAACGAAACTGAGTGCAGGGGAAATGAAAGTAGCAGGGAGGTCTGGGGGCAGTGTTTCAGGATGGGACGCCAGAACCAGATGCAGCCATGTGCCTCCCAGGACTTGTCTGTTCAATCTAAGGAGTCCAGACCTAGGCTAACAAACTGTCACCAAGAGAACCGCCCTGGCCCTTTCAGTGGAGCTCTGGTGACTTCATTCCAGCAGAGGCTTGCTCACAGGGCCCAGCACATGGTTTGAGGAACTGGGTTCTGCTTCCTTGTGTTGATGTGACATGGGCCTTGGCAGAGCCCCACCACAGATGGGGCCACTTGACATGCGTATGTTTTGATTTTGTGGTGCCTGCATGGTAACTAGATCTGCCTGTCAAGAAAATTAATCAAATGGATGTGACACTGATTCTTCAGGGTTATTACCAGCAGAGAGAACTTCGGCCTGACTTTCTTGGGACCCTGACGGGCCTCACCTCTAAAGCCAAGGATGTCCCTTCCAGCTCCACTAATCCCATTGCCAAGTTCCTATTTAAGAAGAGCCTGTGGGAAAGGCTGGACCGGGCCCTGGTATAACTGAAAACACATTTCCCTCCCAGGGTTATATTACTGCATTATTTCTGTTCAGGGCCAGCTCTCCCATGTTTGGAGGTAGCTTTCTGGATATGACCTTTTGACATAGAGGTGGGTCTTGGGTTAGAATTTGCTAAGGGCATAGCCTACAAATAACATGACTTCCTTTCCTACATTATAAAATTTAGAATAAGCACCATCTTAGTTAATGAATTCCCCATTCTATATTGTCATCTACGTGTGCTTATTCTACAGTCCTAGAGCCATGGTCTCTTTTAGGACCAGGCGAAACCTATACTGTTATCCTATCCTTGGTGTGTTTTCTATATTATTGCAAAGCATTTGCTTGTTTTGTTTGGGGATGAGTGCAGGTGAAGAAGGGAATCTGTAAATGGAGTCTTGTTTACAGAAATTGCTTCCTTCCCCAACAGCCCACCCGCCCCACCCCTGGATGCATTTCCACCTGGAGGAGGCTTTGGCAATACTTCATCCTTTGGGAACACTTAGTGTTTCTGGAAAGCCAAAGGGAGATATGAGCTCACCTCCCTTGCCTGGACAATTTGTATCTGTTTCCTAGTTCTGCAGAATGTATTATATTCTGCTTCTGCTTGAAGAAGTAAGATAAACAAGACTCCAACAGTGTATATGGGTGACAAGCAGAAACACAGTGTCTGTCATCTGGGCCTTTTATTACATATGGGACTTACAGTCTAAGACCCAAGCTGAAGATAATAAGGCTTAACAGAAGAAAGGAATGCCACTAAAATATATAGAATTTGCAAAAGGAGCCAAGATGGAGATGAGAAGAAATATATGGGAATAATTACTTATCCTTCTCCTAGTCACTATCAAAGATCCCAACCAAAGGTTCCCAGTCCATAACCCTCTAAAACCTATTCTTCATTTGGACTTTAACTCTGAACTGACCGAAATATTTTTAGAATTGATTGATACTTTAACCTGCCTTTTAGGAGTAAAGAATTCTTTAACTTTAGTAGTTATTGTAGAAATTTTTACCCCCCCCCATGGTTATTTCATCCTTAATTCATTCCATTCATGCTTCAATGCATTTCCCCTACTGTTCAGATTTCAGATGTGCTGGTATTTACACTAAGCATACATCTGATACATTTCAGAAAGAGGTCCAGGTTGGTATCCAGGGCTCCTAAAGCTCCTTGACTGTTTGCAGGGCAGGATGATCACTTTGTTTTAAGCAAGGATTCATTTTTGCCCTTGATGCCACTTAACCAGAGCCAGCGGATGTTCTGGTGTCTGTGACTTATCTTCTGGCCTGGGACATCCTGTTTACCCCCCACCCTCTGATCTCCTTCCACTGGCCTCTCAGATTTCAGAGAGAGTGTCCCTAAAGTCTTCTGGAAAGACCAAGACAATGGGCTTGTTTACCCTTGTCTGTCATTGCCTCAGCCCTGAATAAGTGGGCCACACTTTAAAACCATTGATTTTGGAGTTTTGCTTTTGTTTTTTAGTCTATTCAGTTTCAACTTCCTGCTCAGTCTATAGAGTTTCAAGTTGGGTCTTGACCCTCCATTTCTATGAATTGAGCTATTATTCTTACTAGAAGAAACTATTCTTAGACATGATGAATTGTGCATTTGTGTACATGCTGTTTTCTTTATGAAACTGATTGACTACTAAAATTGCTTCTCATTCAACACTGAAACTACCAATTGAGGACATTAAAATAGGTCTCGAAATTGCCAATTATTTTAACTCTGCTAATTTGTCATTTTACCCATACATGCACACAGAATCTCTCTCTCACAATCATACACACAGAGAGAGAAAGAGAGAGAGACAGAGACAGAGACAGAGAGACAGAGAGAATATCCTGCAGCGTACAGAGAGACAGAGAGAGTACCCTGCAGCGTAACACGTAATGTGCAATTTCTTTGTAAGGGAAGAAGTTAGGAGAGTGGAGGAAATATGTAACATTAGTGTGCTGGTTTAAAAAGAGAAAATGTCTTCCTTGGGCTCAGATAGTTGAACACTTGGGCCCAGTTGGTGGTACTGTTTGGGAAGGTTATAGAAGGTCACAGGAGCCATGCTGGAGGAAGCATGTCACTGGCTTTGAGAGCTCATAGCCTCTTTTACGTCTGCTTCCAGCTTTGGCTGCCAAGCCTGCCTCTTGTTGCCATGCGTCTCCATCATGACAGACTTCCCCCACCAGTGCAAACCAAGCAAATGCTCCCTTTTACAAGTTGTCTTGATCATGATAGTCTGTCATAACAGCAGAACAGTAATACAGTGGGGTTTCATATATTTTTCTTGTAAAATCTGGAAATCCTGAGTGAATTGTACTTGCTGTTGAGCACAGCAGAGCTTCCTCTGGTTCTCGTTATACGCCTAAATGGGGAAGCATTGAAAGAGTGTGCTTCATACTCTTTACATATTGACTAACAGAGGTGGTCATGGCTAGATACATAAACTATTTGTTCCTTATTGTTCTTAATACACAGTGAGGTCAACTTTCATCAGTACACAGTCCTGGCACTAAATGTAGTTAAGGAATCGTGGATTTTATTTTTGTTTTGTTTTTTAGACAGGATCTTACTGTTACAAAGGCAGGCCTTAAGCTGTTGGGCTTAATCCATCTTCCAGCTGCATCTAGGTGTGTGCCACTATGCTCAACTGAAGTGAATCACTTTATCATCCTTAGTTTGGGTTATATTTGTGTACAGGTGGGGTTTTGTGCAAATTTATGTATAAAAATAATCTGGTTTAGGAGCTGGAAGTATAAAGACCTTTTAGTAATTGCCCAGTATACGGAATTCTAGCAACTTTTAAAACCTTGAAGTTAATACTTTATGTTATTTTATTTTGCTCTTATAATGCCCTACACAAACTTGGTATTATCCACTTTACTTTATGGGGGCAGACACTGCAGTAATAGAAGTGCAGGCAGCATGAGGGTAGGCAGTTTAGAATTTACAAACCCAAGGAATTGGTTCCCGGTTTGTCTTTAAGGATACCAAAAGCGAATAAAGGATGAGATGATTCCTTAGCAAGTATAACCACCTTGGTGTGAGCTTTAATTTCTGGGCTTCATTTTATGGGAACCATTGATTTGATAGAGATTCCAGGGGCACACACATCCCAACAGACACTAAGTACAGCAATGTGCTTATGGCTTGGAAGCTCTGGTAATATTCAGGAAGACCCTGTTTTGGTGAGGAATGGACAGGCACACGTTTACATAGTCCTATCAATGAATCTTGTTCACCTTTCTCTCTAGCCAGCTCTGTAAGGGGCAGAGTCACTGCATCAGACTGGTTCATTTAGATTAGACTGTGACAAGATCAAGAATTAACTAGACTGTCAAGAGGACTGGCTTACGGAGATCCTCCATGGAAAAAGCAAGTGAC